TTGAAGAGTCGATGGATGTAGCGAATGATGAGAGTAGAAAGTGGAGGAATGATGACTCGAACTTCGCCGCAATGTAATTTTGGACTCGATCTCGATAGTGTCAGCTTTTTTGTGGAAAGTTTTTGTCTAGCGAAAATCCGAGAGATGGTTAGCAATCAAGTGATTATCAATGCCGTCGCCTGCCCAAATTTTCACGAGATAATAAGAGTTGTACACAAGGCGGGATTGGTGGGTAACAAACAATAAAATCTTCAAGAAAATGTCCGAACTCGAGTATGCAGATACTTGGTACTGTAAGGCTACCAATAATCCCAGTGTAGACGGATAGTTGCAGGAATGGATCTCTGACTGCAGTAAAATTCTGAAATTATGTTTTGCAGATACGTGATTGCGATATTTGAGTGGTATAAGGAGAATGAGGTAACAGAGACAATGACCCAAGTAGGGAGATATGGGGTAATCGGTCGTGAGATTTAAGTCGAGGGGGGGTGAGAATGTGGTGTGGCGCTTCTTTTTGCCTGCCTGCCCAGGTGGTGTTTTGAGTTGTTCTGAATAAGATTAACCCCGCTGGGTGGGTGTACTGTAAGACATGTGCGATTGGATTGGAAGGGAAGATTGGGTCGACGTCGTACACTCCAAAATTAATTTTGGCTACGAATGCAGGAATGCAGAAGATGAGAGGATGAGAGGATGAGAAGATAATAAGCAAGAAAAGAAGGACGACGAGGGTTGTGCTGGAAGAGAAAGTAAAAGGCAAAATGAATGGAGAAGAAAGGGAAGGGGAATGAATGTCAAGAGTGTGACTGGATTTGGATTTCCGATTTCCAAGGTTCGGTTCTAAGTTTGCCTTCTTTTTTCCTTTATTGCTTGCTTAGTATTCCTCCTATTTACTCGAGAGTCAAGAGATATGGATACATGCGATACCATAGGTGAGGAGAAAAAGAAGGCTTTAAAGGAGGTGGGAGGATGGATACATGTATGTAAATTCTTGTTCTTCTTCTGTATCGTCGTTGTTGTTTTTGTTGTCGTCGTCGTCGTAGTTTAGTCGGATCGGATAGGATAGGTTTTGTTATATTTTAAGAGAAATAAAAAAAAAAGTGCACGGGGAAATAAGGCGACGAGAGTTTTAGTGTTCCCAGATGTGGATTCCTTTCCTTTGCTATCTCCTTCTGCGAGGGATTATATTGGACAGGATGGGTGAGGAGATAATTATGAGACTAGTGAGCCCAAGTGAGAAGTGAGGTCGTATGGGTGGATGGGTGGATGGATGGATGGATGTCCTCTGTCTGTATGGGTGGATTGGTGTTGTGAAATTCGATGTATGGAGGGGGTGTGGTATGGAGGGAGTGTGGATTATGTGTATGTTTTGTGTGCGCGCGTGTGTGTACCTAATACCAGAGTTGTCTGGATGGTATTATGGTATGGATTAATTGAGGATGTATGATGGGTCCTCTCTTCTGCCTTTTCCTCTTGCAATGGAGATGACACGGACAGAGTGTACGCACAGATGCATAGAATACAAGAGATTGAGATTCGCTGAACCCTTGACCATGACGTTTTGTACAGACGACGGAGCACACAGATGGAAAAAAAGAACCGAAAATGGACCCATGTCTTTTTGGTATCCATGTTCAATTTGGATGGTTTATGGTTTATGGTTGAGTGAAGTGTGAAGTGTGAAGTGTGAAATACATGATGTGTGGTGTGTGATGTGTGGTGTGTGATGTGTGATGTGAAGTAAAGTCAACTAAAGGGTAGTGAAGTGTGAAATGTAACATGGTAAGGGAAAACATTCAACTGGTATGATGAGTACAAAAATAGTGAACGATTAATAATTGTATCTAGGACCTACCAAGTGAGGTTGGAATTAATTCCCTATTACAAAAGCCATATTCAAGTTTATTGCTGGTTCAGAAGCGACTTTCGTTTATGGGTAACTCCTCCATCATATATCGTAGATAATCGAATATAACGTAGAATATATTACCTAGTACCTCCATTATATACCTAGGTAGTAAGTATCTAGGTCTGCTCCTCTCTACCTAGTACCTAGCATTATCTCAAAGTCCTTCCTGTCTCCCACGCCCACTTCATTCAAACTACCTAGTAGGTACACTTCACTCAAATTGGAAAATATACCTCATGTCATATAGCCATATTTGGAACTCCTTCTCGCTTCAGACATCTTCTACTATTCTCCTCCTCCTTCTCCTTCTCCATCCCTTTCTCTCTTAGTGCCAAGTAAAGTTTCCCATTTGATGCATTACCCAAACAACTACTTCCTGTCTTTCTTCCCCCAAACTCTATGCATAGGTCCCATTCTGGTCATCAGGCACAAACAAGCACCCAGGTATGGAAATGTCAAATAGATAGATTGGTAAAGCTATCACCCATAGCTATAGCTACTTGCTTCCCGCAATCAATTATCACTACCGTCCCGTCGCGCTCCAACTTCCAAGGGGTTTGTAATTTCATGCAGGGCTCAGTTCATTGGGCTGCAGAAGATGCTCCACTCTTCTGATGCCTTACGAGCCAGTGTGACGGCAGTGTACAATCAATCCAGACATCCTCCGAATGTTGAATCCAACGAGTCTTCCACTTCGAAAGTCTTCTTCCTGCCCTGCCACCATCCTTTCACCGAGTACCTTTACACTGCAGGAACTATTCTTTGCATCTTTTTCCTTTTGGGCTGAGCTGGTGGATCATCCAGTCACATTTTCTTCTTTCATGGCGTGGGGAACTAGGACCCTCCCGTCTTTGGATCTTGAGACCACTGGTGGACCAATTACACATGTCGCCTATAGCCGTCTCAAAGTGTGGTTGAGGCATGTTTTTCACGTTTTTGACCCTTTCTTTTACGGAGTATTTTCCTTCCTTTCTTCCTGGCCTGGCTCGTTACCAATTTCCCATCATCAAAGTTCTTTCTTCTCCCCGAACTGTGCACATGACATCATTTCCTTTAATTTTCTTCCTCCTGAATTCCTAATCAAATCACATCAAATCAAATCCAATCAAATCCAAAAAACCTAACGTGGCTTATATATCCCCCATACCCTATATCAAAATATGTACGAGCCTTTCCAATCCCAAGGAGATCCCTAGAACTTTATATACGGAACGATCCATAATCCATTCTATCCACTCTCAACGTTCGACGTTCCTCACCACAGAAACCGGCGCCAAAACTAAATACACATGCCAGCCAATGCTTGCATGCCGAGTATGAGAGCTCTCATGTATAATCTTCGGTCCATCTTTTTTTCATTCTCCTGCTCGCCCAGTCTGAGCCAGTGGCTTTCCAGTGCCCCAGATCTCCACTGCAGTGCAAGGATTATCCAAAGATCATCATTCTAGCTCTCGGAAGTGCCCTTTCATCTGCGAGATTGCCAACGCCCAATTCTCACATAATCATCTTTGGGCAATGAGGGATCATCCATATGGAGAGGCCATCAAGATACCCGAGTTACGAAACAGGACTCGATCATCGGATGGAAGTGGAAATCTCCCAGATCGTTTGATAATATCACGTGATTACTCGATCCATCTCCCTCGCTGCACGATCGTAGCATGAGGGAGACGGAGACTACCTAGGTAACTAATGGCCGAAGCTCCTTACAGCTAGCTAGCCTTCCATATGTTTCATCTCCTATCGAGCATTTTCTTAAGCTCGAGCCGCTTCGACTTCTCTTTCGCATCGTGAACATTCATTCTTCATTTACAAACTTTCCACTTCCCAAGTGGATCCCGGGCCGTTACAGCCCGATTCTGTCTAAGAATTGATTTGCTGAGCACACCTGGGCAATCATCGAAGACTCAGACTCAGCAGATATATGCATTTCACTAGCACAGACACGATGATCTAAGTTGCGTAGTCCTCTAGATATAGTTTCTGCTATCTATGGGAACACGAAAGGGGCTTTGGAATGACATCGTTAGAAATTCAATCTTGATCTTTTGCACCCAGGTAGGTAGGTAATTTATACTTTTCATTATGATGTACCTAGCTGCATACCCATTGTACTCGTACAATATTTATGCAATCGAAAAAATATCCAATGGAATCTGCATCTTTGAGAAACACGGCTCGCTCGCTCATTCATTCATTCATTCATTCATTCATGGATACCGTAGATAGATAGATGGATTCTGAAATCTCCCCAAAGTTCAAACAAACAAACAAACAAGAAAGATCGATAGATAGATAGATCCACCATTAGAAAATTCAATACCTACCTACCTACTAGGTACTTCGATCCATCTATTACTAATATCCATCTATTACTAATACCCATTAATCTCGCTCATTTCCATTCAGCCTCACGATTTACATCGGGACTCACAAATTCAAAATTCAAATTCATTTTGTACGATATTTGATTAATATAAATAATTAACTTGATGAACTTTTCGAATCCATCGTTTTTTTTTTCGTTTAGAACTTTATATCTGAAAATATACAAGTATATATATAACTTGTGATTAATATTAATGGATAGATTTGAAAACCTAGTATAAGGTTCATATTATGATTTCGCTATAGTTGGTAGGTTAGTAAGAAGAGGATTTTTTTGGAAGGGAGAAGGGGAGTTATAATATGATATAATCTATATTATACTATACTATATCATATTATATCAACTCATATATCATCAAATCACAAACCATCACACACCATCAAAACTATACACCAAATCACAAATCATCAAAACACAAGCCCTCTTCTCCTTCTCTGAACCCTTTCCTAACTCAGCTATATATATATCTAATCCTCTGAATTAATACTCTGAATCGTGTGGTGTGATAGTTTCTCGGGCGTGATTACCATCTATCTACACTTTATCAAACCGGTGGAAGATTACATTCCGCAGCACGTATGATAGGATAGATCTTGCATTATTGTATTTATATCATCAAGGAGACCCGAAGCATTTGCCTGGTTTTGAATACCTACAACGAGTTCCGAATTTCCGATAACCAGAAATCATAAAGCTGTGAGAAACTCAGGTTTTATTATGCAACTCCCTTGTGCTGATAAATTTTTCTCTCGCTGATCCAAGGTCCTCCTTGATCATAACTGTCGCTTTCTCAGCAACTGCATACACCGTCGCCATAATTGCAGCACTGATCTGCATGGGAAAGACACTGGCGTCACCCACGCGAAGCCTACCCACCCCCTTCACCCTCAGCCGTCCGTCCACAACCTGACCCATGGCACAGGTTCCCAAGGCATGATGACATGTCACAATGCGATCACGAACATAGTCTCTCGCCTGGTTTCGATTGCGAAGATCGACTTCAGCAGGGGGTTCAACTCGCCTCGCAACCTTGTCTTTGAGAAGAGGTGATGGGAAAACTTGGTCGGCAAATTTGACTTCAGTAGCCAGCATGTCAACGTCGGCTGGGTGGGAAAGGAATTCTGGATCGATTAAGGGGGTATCCAGGATGTCGTGTGATGGAATATGTACGCTGCCGCGAGAGATAGGGTACATGTTGCTGGCTGTGACCGAGTAACAGGCGTTGTGACCGTCAGGGGCACCAGACATCAGTTTACTGCAATCGAAGTGACCTCTCCCGATATTGAAATTCGCTGGCGAACAAAACAGAAGGAGATCCACGGCTTTGGGGCTGCGCATACGTGCGACGATGGCCTCTTGCTGTTTCTTCTGGGAGATGGGGTCTTGAAGCGGTGACCGAGTATTCGCATGAGAACTAGACAAGATGTTGGAAATCGTTTCTTCAAATTCTGTCTTGTCTACTTGTGACGAATATGGAATGTAACCGGTGAGACTGACGGCTCCAGAAAATACCCCAGAATGCGATTCCGTGTAGAGTTTCTGATGTTCTGCCATCAAATCTGGGTCTCGAAATAATGAGTCAAGTGAAAGGATATCGGGAGCTAGTTCATACGCAACAGCAGACATAGTGTGCTCTTGAAGATTGTTGCCGACATGAGGGTTAGGTACTAAGCAAGGAATGTGCACCTCTTCAAGAACCTTGGGATCTCCGATGCCGGAAAGTTTGAGGAGCTGGGGACTTTGTATGGATCCAGCACTGAGGATGACTTCCTTTCTTGCGAAAGCCGAGTAGAAGACTCCCTCATGCTGAAACTCAACATCTTTTGCGAAAAGGAACCCATCAGAGCCACTCTCTAATATGATTCTACGGGCGAGGGCGTTTGTCAGAACTATGGAATTTTCCCGCCCAGAGATCGGTGCCAAATATCCACTGGCTGCGTAGCTTCGAATTGGCTTCTCTACTTGGTTAGTTGTAGATAGAGTTCTATAAAACCCCAGATGGCTGCCGTTCTACGGGTCCTCGGGTCGTGAAAGGCCGGATACTTCATCGAAGGCGAGTAAGAGCTACTTTTCAAAAGGAACTTGCCAAGTACTCATCGAGGTGTGAATAGCTCCATTAAGGCCATGTCAGTCCTGATTCAGAGGGCATTCCTCAAGATCTCGATTGAGAATGTTAGGCTCGTCGAACTCTCGCCTCTCGCCCCGTTCAAAATATGGTAACAGATCAGACCATGACCAGCCTTGGATCCCAAACGCCTCGGACCAGTCATCAATATTTTCCGCGCAGGGTCGAGCGTAGGCCAGGAAATTGATACCACTTGAACCACCAAGCAATTTTCCTCGTGGTATATGATACACTTTTTCTTTGGTTCCCGCCTGTAGGTAATGAGAAATGAAGAATATATCGTGGATCCATGAGCCAAACTTCGAACAAAAGAAAGTGAAGGAGTAGAGGGAAAATTTAAATCATATACGCACCTGCGGAACACTTTTAAAGTTCCAATCGTATTCTGGATAACTTATCATCATTGCTGCTCTTGCTGGTAGATCAACGTTTGGATCGCCTATGCGCGAGAGGCCTGCCTCCATCACGCCGACTCGAATGCGTGGATCCTCAGACAAGCGCGCAGCGAGGACTAAGCCCGCAGTGCCACCACCAACGATAAGAACATCAAATGGATCCCGGAGGAAATCTGCCACGGTAACCGTTTCCATTTTCTGTAGGAAGAGGAAAATATATTTGGAAGAGATTTCGGAGTCTATTTGACTGCTCTTCCTCAGCGTTCGTAGAGAATTTGAAAGCTTGTTTGGTTGACTGGCTCTTATTCCAATAGCTTCTTTGCGGCGGAAATAACTGTAAATAATGAGAAAAATTACTGTAAGTTTAAATTATTTAATGGCTATGAAGCTGTTTTGATGGCTGATTGTATTTAAATCTTGAATTTATATTCTTATAAACCATACTTATACATTCGTACACTTGATCTCTCTTGGGTGTTTCTTTCAAATCTCGGGAAAATATAACCAAAAACACCAACCTTGAATAAACAAATAGCCTCTTTATATTTCTATACATATAATTGAATGGAATTAGCAATCGGATTATATATAAATCTAAATTGAAGTAGTAGATATATATTTGAAACAAGCAGGAGAAACTACAAGCCTCACATTTCTCACCATACATAGTCATAAATTTTTGCTGCTTTTATTCCGACCCAAATGGAACCTCAGATTTCTTTTCCTGTACAAGTTGGTATTCCTCTCGATATCTTGTCAGTGTAGCAGAGTATGAATGCGTATGATAACAGGGGCTGCTTACACGGCCACAATACACCACGACACTTATCCCCTGGTTACCGCTGCCAACTGCAAAGAACAAAAGAATCGAGCTGTTTTCATCACCGGAGCTTCCCGGGGTATTGGTCGTGCGTGCGCGGTTGCATTTGCCCAGGCAGGCGCCTCTGCCATTGCTATAGGTGCTCGCGCGACCCTCGACCCGGTCGAGAAAGCGATTCTCGAGGAGGCAGCAAAAGCTGATCACCCGGCTCCCAAAGTACTCAAGCGCACGCTGGATGTTTCAGATGAGAAAAATGTTGCCTCCGCCTTCGCGCAGACAGAGCAATCGTTTGGTCGTCTCGATATACTTGTCAATGATGCCGGACGTCTCGAGAATGGGTTCCCGCTCGCCGACACCGATTCCACTTCTTGGTGGGCGGCTTGGGAGGTCAATGTGAAGGGGACATATTTGCCGACGCGAGCCTTCATTCCGCTCCTCCTCAGAGGTGGCCAGAAGACAATTGTCAATATCAACTCGATCGGGCGCACCTGTGCCGGCCGGGTGCCTCGGCCTACCAGACGGGAAATTGGCGATATGTCGTTTGACGGAATTCACCAGCGTCGAGTACGGGGGACAAGGAGTTGTGGCAATCGCCGTTCATCCTGGAGCCGTCGACACTGAACTCATCAAGACCTTACCTGTCCAGTATCATACGAATTTGGTGGATGCGCCTGAGTTGGCGGCCGATACGATCGAATGGTTGACCCGAGAAAAGCAGGGATGGCTCAATGGGCGATATAGAAGCGCCGATTGGGACATGGAAGAGATCATGTCTCGGAAGGACGAGATTGTGGAGGGAAATAAATTGAGGGTCAGGTTGGTTCTATAAGACCTGAGATCTTTTAGAAAATGAGAGAATAGCAGAGAATAGCTTCTGATAAGCTCTCAAAATGGATGTTTCCCGAGTTGCATGTATCACTTCACCACTGCAAGACATGGATAGATTCCTCGTTGCTTTTAGTGAATCCTCATGAAGAAGCTTGTTCTCCTTTAGTTCTACTGCGTACCTAGAATGAAATAGTAGCTAGCTTTCAAACATACATTTGTCGATATTTCTCATCTACCTTCAATTACATGAAACAATCTCAGAGTCTCAGATCTCGAGTTACACAGTGGCTATATAAGAGTCACTTGAACCGATGATCCTTGCTTCCATCTTCTAAGATGACTGCCACCTCCCATTCCTATACAGCTTCGCAAAAGCCGAGCCCTCATCCGAAAGTAGCACCGTCGGACTTTCACATTCGACAACCCGGCCCTGATCCAGCACCACCACGCGATCAAAGTCCTGGATGCTCTGTAGCCGATGGACGATTGCTATGATAGTCCAGCCTTGAAACTCGGTCCGCAAGAGGGACATCATGACCTCCTTCGTAGGTCCATCGACACTGTTCATCACAGTAGTCGTTAGTATTATCTTCATACGATTCTCGAGAAGGGGGACAGTAGTGGAGTACCTGCTTGTTGCCTCATCCAGCAACAAGATTTTACTTCTCCGCATCAGCATGGCCCTCGCTAAACAGAACAATTGTCTTTGTCTAGCGGACAGGTGACTCCCACGCATTTCTGCATCATGGCCGCCCATCCTCCGGATCTGCTCTGTCAATCCGACTTTTTCCAACGCAACTTGGATCTGGGATTCTGTGGCTTCGCTTAGAGGGTCCAAGTTGGAACGCACAGTTTCATGTCCCCCCGGCAGAAACCACGGGTCCTGTGGCAGCGAGTTGATGCGCCCGCGGACTGTTTCTGGTGAAAACGAAGAGATGTCGTCGTGCCCAATGAACACGACGCCAGACTTGGGGTCTAGCAGGCGTAGGAGAAGTGCGGCGAGAGTGGATTTGCCCGAACCCGTGCGGTCACAAATCGCGACCCGCTGCCCAGCATCGATGATCAGATTAATCTTCTGTACGACCTCGGGACCCGAGACCCTTTGATAGTTGTCAGTAATATATCGTTGATAAAGGCAATTAGGGATACACGTACTGATATGAAGCAGAGACATCCTTGAACTCGATAGAAGTGTCCGAAGGCCATTCTACAGAGACGACTGCTGCTCCGTCGGACAGTTCTGCCGGCGTTTCTGCGACAAATCGCCGTGTTCTCGCAATAGCCCCCAAAGACGTCTCGATACTAGTCCAGTAATTCACGAAAGATGATAGCGTTTGACTGAAACTCACAATACTAACCATCGCAACTCCCAGCAGACTGCTGTTCATCGAATGCCGCAGCGTCACGGCTAAAGCAATGAGGATGATAGCCAAACAAGCGACGACAACATCTAGCACGAGATTTAACCAGTTCTGCAGGCACAAAAGCAGATAGAATGGTCGTTGCGCAAGATCGAGCAGTCCAAAGTTTTGGTCAAGGACGTACCCCTTCCATTTGAATGCACGTATGGTCCGCACCCCGTCCAAGGTCTCAGTGAGATGCGTAAAGAGCGGGGATTTGGCTTCGAGGTCGAGTAGCCGCATCTGCCGGGAGGTCTGGAGGTAGAACTTTTGAAGATAGAAGAGCGCCACTCCTAAAACAGGGAGACACAGGGCCATATAGCCTGAGGAGACGCAAGTCAGGATTGCTCCGGCGATGGTTTTGCCAAGTCCTGTACATCTTTAGTAATGAAAGCGTGATAGAGAGGAGATTGCAGCAACATACCTTCGGTGGAAAGCAAAAGGGACATTGGTAATTGCATATCCATTAGGGTCATATCCTGAGTGAACCTGTTCGCGAGTCACGACGCTTTCTTCTATTGACTGAAACGGTTAAACTCACCGGTTCAAGAGAGATCCCGAGTCCGTGGCCGAGATAAAAGTCATAGGAGCCCTAGGTATTCAGATCAGCATAGATTGACGCAAAAGAGTTCCAGAGTCCCGACCTCATTGTAGCTCTCAGAATTGAGTAGTGCAATCTACTCGCGGAGCTGGGAACCAGTGATATCAAATAGTGCCTGAACGCGTGTAAGCTGCAAACTGCACCGTAAACGAGCAGAAACTCAGTTGGCTCTTACCCTGCAGCGATCCCGAGAAAAGCTAGCGCCAGGATCCCAAAGACAGCATAGACGCCCAGCCATTTTCCTAGATCAGTTTCCGGCCTCGTCGTATTGGCGTCGACCCACCAGCTGAGCCACAGTGCTGCAAATCTATCAGTCAATGACTTGAATAGCTAATAGAGGGTCTGCATAATTACGCTGTAGGGCTATAAAACTACACTGTATGGTGGTGAAAAGTAGAAATAAGCCAAAAGCTGGTTTGCCCATAGTGTAAATGTAGTATAAAAGATTACGGGGATCTCGACGTCCGCGACTTTCACCTGCTTCCTCCTTATCCTTCTTTTCGTCGGGTATTGGAGAATCTGATGTACTTGAATTGATATCCAGCTTCGTAATGGAACTTGCGTTCTCGAATCCGTTTTTTTTTCAAATTGAGATTATGAAGATGTCCGGGTACTGATGTGAGAGATTGGTATGTGCCGAACTGTAATAGGCGACCCTCTGGGCTGAGAACGAGGATCTGATCTGAATACGGGAGCCATTTGACAGCATCTGTCAGCAGTGATCCTCAATGAAGATTAGATGGAGTTTTACCGGCATGAGCAACCAGCACAATAGTAGCACCAGTGTGTCGTATTAACCCATCTTGACTTAACAGTTGGTGAAAGCAGTGCCGTTCCGTTTCCGAGTCCAGCCCGCTGAGGCAATCGTCCATCAGGACAATCTTCTTCCGGGCGTAGACGGCTCTAGCGACGGTCTAAGTGGGAACACAAATTAGATTGTTTTTAATTAATAAAGAAAGATAACTCCAGAAAACAGACACGTTTACACATACCAAGCGTTGTTTCTGCCCGCCACTCAATGATATGCCTTTACTTCCCACTCGGCTATTATCGCCGTCTGGAAACTGACGAATATCAACGTCCAAGGCACATGCCCGCAAACAAGAGATATACCATTGCTGATCATAATCCAAGTTGCCAACGATGTTCTGTCGAATACTTTGATTCTTTAGGAAAGGCGTCTGATCACAATATGCAATATCATCTGTCGACAGGCTTACGGAGCCGCTGTGCAGGATCCCTTCGCCTAGCAAGATCTGGAGTAAAGTGGATTTTCCGCATCCAACGGGCCCGACAACGATGGTTAGTGTGCCCGCAGTAATCTGCACGGAGAGGTCGTGGAGGACGGTCTTCTCTGGAGACCAGCCTGCATTGACCTACCTAATTTCAATGATGCTGGTGCCGCTTTCGGATTTCTCGTATTTCGGCTCCCTATCAGTCTCGACTTCAGAAACTCTGGGCTCACGGGTCAGGCGTCTGAAGTCGACCTGTTTCTTGCCTTCCGTGTACTGTTGAATACGATTGCAACACTCTAACGCGGAGGCTAGATTGGGAATGGCTGAGACTAGCTCATTGACCGGACTGATCAACACCGACAGCAGAGACAACGACGAGAAGATGGTTGCGGCACTTGGTGCCTTACCGGACGAGTACTTCGCAATAATGCCATAGCCGATGAAGGTGACGACGGGAGACAGTATGTTTGCGGCATTTCCTTTAGAAGCAATAGTTAATATAAGTTCGACAGCCTAGAAAGAGGAAGAGAACATACCGAGGGTGATATTGACGATCTGTACATATCGAAAACGCTTCGACTTTTTCAACTCTTGTTCTCTCAGATCTTGCACGTTCCCAGTGATCATGTTGGTGAGACCAAGCATCTTCATACCCTTAATCGAGCCAAGAACGTCCGAGGTGTAAGCCACACGTTTCTGAACTGCTTGCATCCATTGTCGCTGGCGCGGCCGGATTTTCTTAGCAACTTGACTAGATACGTATGCCAGAACTAAGAACACGATCATTAGTATTCACATTGCTGTAACATGCGGTGATTGAGGGATCATCAAACTCACTCAGAACCAAAATGACAGGTGCCACGCAAATTGCCCCGAGACGTGTCTCTAAAATCCAGATGGCGACGGTAGCCTGAACAATGTTGGGGGCTGTACTGATGACCCACTGAAGCGTCGACATGACACGCTCGACATCGGCCCCCATCAAGCTTACAGGCGAAGACGCCTCTACAGTGCCCACGGCGATATCAAGGCTCGACTTATAGATGATGCTGATCAGCGCCGCGCGAATCATCGTGAGTGCCCGAGAAGTCAGATACTGGTACCACGCCGTCGAAATCTGAAGCAAGTATCAGACCTGTCTATTCATTTGAAATAGGAGAGGGAGAGAGAATATTAGATGAGACGTACAGCAATTCCAAGATACGTAATTCCAAAAGCTCCAATCAGCCCATAACCATATTTATTGGGTTCGGTTCCACCCTCGACAAAATTGATGGCATCTTCAATCAAAAATGGCTGGGCCATACTGAATGTGATTAAAACAAGTCTAGGGACCATAGTTACGGTGATTGGAGCCCAGAGCGCCTTGGCTATCGCTAAGGCGAGAGAATAGCTTTTATCTTTGGAACCTGCATACAATTTCAGCTACAGATATCACGGAAAGCGATCTAAGGACAAGGACGAACTGGAATCCCACTGCTTCTGAACTCGCTCGTCGACCGACTGGGACGAAATATGCTCATCGATTGGGTACAAATCATGGACCGTCAAATCGCCCCGATTGCCTTGATAAATCAACGGGTTCAGCTAGGCAAAGAAACTAAGGCTGTAGATACCGCTCCTCCGCTCTGGCATATCTGGGCCCTGCGTATGACTGTGGCTCGCCTTCGAAAGGGCTTCCAGAACCAGCAACAGGCTCTTGATAGCCAGTGCAGCTACGAATACGGCGGAAGTAGCGGATGAGCCCGGGAGGAGCCATTCTGTTCGTGCTCTTGCAATGTCCAAGATTGTTGTGAAGAAGAGAAAAACGCCGAGTAAGATCGACGGTCGCAGCGACTTTGAATGCTCCAGAGGCGACAAAAGCCCTATTGCAATGGTAGCGGCTAGATCCAGCGCTGCTGTTGCGATGGTCGCGCGTGTCCGTAATGCAGCATACAGAGGGAGCGTCCATAAGACTAGCAGGGCCAATCTGAGTAGACACAGTACCACGATGGTAACCTACAGTAGATTGCATATCAGCTTGCGAAGCGATAAGGCCTTGGATCTAGGGGTATTAGCTGACGAGTTTGAAAATCCGGAGCAGCGACCCTTTCACCGCGTCTGGTCGTCGATAAATTGACCAGAATCGAAACGGCACGGCGCATAGTAATAAGGTAGCTGGAAGGATGGTAAATATGCTCTCCTCAAAGAGTAAGGTAAAATCGAAGCCATCCCGACAGCTTTGGACTTTCACGGTTGGCCCGAAGGAATCGTGGGGACAAAAGGAGTTTAGCGAGTCATTCATCATGATACCCGCCGCCGACTTGCCGATGATGAGGTGAAAAGTTGAGAAGTAAATGTACGAAGTATATCCAATTGAAGGAAGAAGAGAACGACACTCCAGAGCAACCGAAGCAATGTAGTACAGCAAAACCTCTCTATAAGGATATCGGTTTTTGTATTCTTTTTTAAGGATATATAGAGGTATCCTAATATAGAGGTATCCGACTAATCCCGACCCGACAGTAAGTAATTAGCTTCCGATTAGTCCCGATCGGATCATATTCCGTGACAATTTCGGAACTTTTTCTATTTTCACAAAACGTAACTCAATTCTCTATATAATATTATATCATAGCTCAAATCCTGATGATTCTACTAACCTAATAAGGATACATGTAATCCCGAGATCGAAAATATAAGGATATCCTAATAGAGGGGTTCCATCTTGATCTACATGCTTGCTTCTGAAATAATACGTCAGATATATATCGGGAATTTTGTGGCGGAGTCGGAATGAGGAAGGAAATATCCCGTCTCTCGGTACTTTGAATGGTATTGTGAGTTATTCGGGTAAACTTCCGAATAGCATAACATGTTCGCAAAGGCTACGGGGTCTTCATTTGATGGGTTTAGCCTTTGAGGTTGATAAGATAGCGCTTAAACCTTTCGCTTAAACCTTTCGCTTGAACCTTTTTCCATTACTCAGAATGTCACCTCCACACATACAGAGTAGAGTGTGTGCATAGCCGGTAACCGGTGCTTTGCCCTAAGAATGAGAGTTCCTGCACGCCAGGGGGAGAAAGTCGTCAGATTATTAGTGTTGGTGAGATGGACGTTGGTGCAGATCCACGTCATATTAGTATCCCACTTGACTGCAGGTGCTCCTTCGACAACGGAAAAAGCTTGAATATGCTTGACAAAGCTTGGGCGGGAAGGTAGACGTTTTTCTAATGATTCGATTGGGGGTTCCTTATTAAATCCTTGCGGCGGCCGACTGTGTGCTTACGGATCCCGTGTGGCACAGCAGCACAAACCGACTCGTATCCTGCTAATGACCAGGTAATGTACGAAGTACGATGCCTTTACACAATGCTTGAACACCTCCCTAAAGACGCCGAAAGATCCCACTTCGTTTCTTTCAGACCATTGGCTTCGTAAAGGCGAGTAAGGGTTGGAATTTGGAGCAAGAACAAGTCATTCACTAGTGGCCACTGTAGAGATGATGCCGACAGCCAATGATGTTTGTTTTATTCTGCTGTATTATATTATATTTGAGATTGAGTTTGAGTTTAAGATTAAATAATCTTAATAACATATAAGTTCGAAGTTTATATATCTATATCAACTATCTTTTATCTAGTCATAAGATATATAATCTTAATAATATAAGACTGAATAATTGCTACGACTAAGACTTAAGACTAATAATTATTTAGAAGGAAAATATTAGTAGATATATAAACTTATAGAATACTTCCTAGCTTTCGAAAGTTACTTTTCAAACTCGTAAAGCTTTGGATTAAAATGTAAATTGTATACTTATATATATATATTATATTATCAAATCAAATTAAATTTATTCGGATGAGTGTGTAGCGAGGGGAGGAGGTAGACAGGTGTAAGAGGAGATGTTTCCTCTATCCCCTAGACTGCTGGCTTAGGATATTTTAAGTGGTTTTTGTATGAGCTTAATTATTAATAATTTAATAAATGATATTATAATAAAAAGTCTTTGTATTAAATTTGAAATTTAAAATTTATTCAAAAATAATAATAAATATATCAAATACATGTTTATATTTTTTTATTAAAAAATAATTGTGAAATGGTTTTAAAAGATATTATTATAAAACCCTTATATTTCGATAATAAGAATTCTCAAATTTCTGATGTTCTGATTGGTCAATAAAGCGAGCTATCCTCTATTGGCAGTCTAGGGGATACTTTGTGTATTGGTAGGTTTCGAGGTAAGTCAAGGGAAGGATTGAAGAAGAGTCTGATTGTATTATAAGACAAATTACTCTCATATCCCCCAAAAGTGATTTATTCATTCTCGTGTCCTGAAATTGAGAGGGGGGTTACTCGTATGCCCCTTACATTCTATAGTAGAGGGAGAGTAGATTCTATAGAAAAAGAATGGTTTGTAATCACTTTAGAGTAGATTCTATAAGAGGATAGATTCTATAGTCGTCATATTATGGTCTAACAGAATATAGTATCCACAAACGATGAATCCATCAGTGGAACGCGAGGACGCGCGGAATTTAGATCAAGAAGTCGAGAGGTGTGATACATGGTATCTACGCGATATGTTCGAGTCGATCTACCTATATACGAGGAGTGGTTATGCGTAGGAAGATGGTGGATGGTCTGAGTGGTGGGACTTGGTATTGTTTTGATTCGAGTGAGGGAGGAGTAGTTAGTTTGAGTTTGAGGGACTAGGCGGGGGAGGTAATGTGTGTAGTTTGAAATAGAGCATTATTCTCTTTTAAGGGGAGGCTGTGTGAAGAAAACGAGCTGTGATTGCGGAGAAGTGTGTAAGTGAGCGTGGATTATTGGATTTCTGGAGAGATTGGGTCTAGGACAGTAAGAGGAATTCTTAAGAAATAATTAGATCCTATTTTGGTTTCAGATACGGTACTCGGTACCAGTTCTAGCTTATAGCGAAATAAACTACTCTCACCGTACGGGCTCGGTTAAAGTTAAGTAGCTACTTGAATCGGTAATCATGAGTTTACACTTTTGTTTAGATTGGCTAGTATGATTGGCTAGCATGGATACAGTCATAATATTGTTTTCCAATTCAGGACTAGACGCTATATCGAAGTCTTTTGGAGAGGCCTGGTTTATTTCTTCAATATCAGAGCTATTTTTATTATTTTTATTTTGTTTTTGATTGGAATTTTTATTATTTTTATTCTTATTATTGGTCCTATTAGACTTTTTAAGCTTATTTAACTCTTTAGTCACTTTATACAGTTTTTTATTTGATTTATTACTGTTTTTAGACGAGTTATTGGATCTTTTATAGTCTTTATTATAGAGTTCTGGGTGCTTTTTAAAACACTTTTCCTCTAAATGCCCCTTTTTATTGCAAAATGTACAATTTGGAATAGTATTTTTGTCACGGTGTGAGCTCACGTGATATGCTGGTCCTATCGGAGAGGACCGAAAGGAGCGCTCGCACCGGAGCGCAAGCGAGCTAGGGCCCGATCGGGCTAGCTCGCTATGAAAATTCCGTATATCTTTAACTCAGAAGATCCTGTATTGTAGCTCTTTGAGCTATATCTTAATCCTCAATCTGAACCTATTATCCGAATCAATATAACTTTGCTAGATTAAAGTAAAGTTATTAGAACCCTATCCTGCCCGCCTGCCCTGTAATACTATGTAGCTTCTATCCATTAAAATATCGCTTTCACAATAACTGCTCCGCACCCGCCTAGCCAGCTTAGGGACTCCTCAGAATTTAGCACTTCTGTATTGGAGAACCCCTAGGTTTGATATTAATATCTTTAGTTGGTATTTGTGTATTATACTGAGCTAGAGGAGATCAATAGATTACTCGAACGCGAAATTTCCGAATCCCTAATCCGTAAACATATTCAAACTGTTCTGCACAAGCAGATTGCTATTCAAAATACCTGTTTACTCGATCGCCTTGCTGAATCCATGCCTACTATACCTACTCATTTAAAAATTGTATTTCTTGAAACTCCTGTTGATTTTGTTCCCAAACCCATTATACCTACTCTGATTATTCGATTAAATGAGTATATCCCTAATCCGAAAAAGTTTGATAGCACCCGCTCCAACCTATATAGATTCGTTCAACAAATACATGGAAAATTGAATACGAATAATAATAGATTCCCAATAACTTCTACCCACTTAACTTACACTGCTAAAAAACTTACTAGAAAGGTATACAAACTTATACTACCTAAGATCTTCTATGGGATTCTTTAGTTCACTAATTATACCGCACTCCTCAAATATCTCGAAAACACCTTTGAGAATTCTAATCGAATATAAAACACATAGAATAAACTATATATATTGAAACAAAAACATCTCGATTTTAGCACCTTCTTCACAAATTTCAAAGATTCACCCTAAAAGAAGAAATACCTAATAATACTCTAACCCCACTCCTATTTTAAGAAATCTTTTGTAAACTATAAGATATACTATTGTATAACCCCATTTCGACTCATAAATTTTATTAATACACTAATCACCTATAACAACTCGATAATCGATTTTGTTAATACCAATAATAAATTCATTATATTCGTTTTATCACTTCCAAACTTTATTCCAGAGAATAATCACTACTCCACTTTTACAACTCGCTAGCCCAAAATCTACTCCTGGAGACCCAATAGATCTGAGCTTAGAGAAAAAGGAATATATTACTAGGAATCTAGGTTTGCAACAGAAACACAACAAATACTATCGCTGTAGCTCTATTAGCTATCTGATATAAAACTGCTCGCACCCCGATACCCGTTCTGTTCAATTTTAAGTTACCACTATTACAACCAACCCTACAAAAACCAGCTCTATACCGAATAGTTCTCCAAGAAGCCGAGTCCCTATCCATTCCCCACCTCACTTTCCTTTCTATTCGCCAATCAACTCAATCAATTCAGAAAACGGGATACACCTGATCTAAACTATAATCAAAACAATCCTTCGCATACCCTTCACTTATCTACTACTATTACTTATAGCCTTCCTTTGGAAAAT